TGAGATTTATTCCTCTATAATCACAAAATACTATTTGTCAGATTCCTCTCTCTCTACACCTCCTTCTCTTTCTTCCAACCCTTTGCTCTTCCTTCTCTCTCCCTTTTATTTCCCAATATTGCTCAGCTTAATTCTGATCTCTCCTTCCTTGCTCTTCAACTTGAGCCCACAACCTAAGGATCCCAAGAGGTCACAGTCCACAGGCAAGATGCCCCAGGATCAAAAGGTGGGCAGCAGAGAAGGAACGAATCCTGGAGATAAGATGAGACCTTAACCACAGAAGGACACACCCAGGAGCTGTAGCAAGCAGATCTAGGGACGAGGGCTCCCAAGTTCAGTGCTTATTTGCTGGCAGGAATCAATAACAGGATCACAAACAACTTGGCACCGTTAAGTGAAATGGTCAGATATTAAGTCAGGCTTGCTTGTACTTTTCTCCTAATTAACAAAAGAAGACTGTCGGGGTGCCTGGGTGGCTCAGTCATTAAGCATCTGCCTTCAGCTCAGGTCATGGTCCTGGGGTCTGGGATCGAGTCCCACATCGGGCTCCCTGCTCCGCAGGAAGCCTGCTTCTCCCTCTCCCACTCCCCCTGCTGTGTTCCTTCTCTCGCCGTGTCTCTCTCTGTCACATAAATAAATAAAATCTTAAAAAAGAAAAAAGAAAAGAAACGAAGACTGTCTGGTATTATAGAGCTATTAACTACAGAACCGTATAACTGACTAGTAGGGATTTTCAGGCTCCGTGCCAGATCTGAATCAGAACCATCAAGGATGATCATCCTGGTGCGGAACCCCTTGACGGGGGAGGCACACAGAGTTTCTAGCCTAATAGCCCTAGCAGACACACACACACACACACACAAACACACACACACCCATCACTTATTAGTGTGTGACCTCGCTTTCCTTATCTGTAAGATAGAGATGATGCCTACCACACAGTATGAGTTTAAGGATTCTGCGTGTAAAGCACTTGCACATAACAGATTCTCAATAATAAGTACTGATGATAATAGCATGATGATTTTAACAAAATGTGATAAGTGCCATCCAATTTTACTGAAATTTTGTCCAGCAAATTTCTATCATTATTATACTTAGGGGAAAAAATAAAGGTACTTCTATTTTTAATGGGTCTTGCTTTTTCAAAAGCATAGTCTTTAAGTATCCATTATAGAATCTGCTACTAAAATTTTAAGGGGGAAAAAGAAATTTTCCTATCTTTAAAACGTAAATTTCTTCATCCCAGTTATATTTACAGATATTGAAATAGAAAAGAACAAGACAGACACAAGACCTACTCTCACACTTTTTATAGACTAATAGGAAAGAAACAACTTTTAACAGAAATCACTGAAGTGTGCTAAGTGACCCTGCATCCCAGGGCCCTTCCTGGAGTGTCTGGAGTGTCATAGAGCTTTCCTGAGGAAGAGATGTCTGTACTGGGTAGACAAGAGAAATTCCAGAAGGAGGATGGGGAGGCACCCTCCAGGCAGCGGAAAGAGCCTAGGTAAACACCCTGAGCCCTGAGGTGGAAAGAAGGCTGGGGAAGGGAGGCAGAGTTGGGTGAGAGTCAGAAGAAAAGGCTTATGGGGGCACCTGGCTGGCTCAGTTGGTGGGGCATGTGACTCTTGATCTTAGGGTTGTGAGTTCAAGCCCCACGCTGGGTGTGGAGATTACTTGAAAATAAAATCTTTGGGCGCCCGGGTGGCTCAGATGGTTAGGCGTCTGCCTTCAGCTCAGGTCGTGATCCCAGGGTCCTGGGATCGAGTCCCGCATCGGGCTCCCTGCTCCTTGGGAGCCTGCTTCTCCCTCTGCCTCTCTCTCGCTCTGTCTCTCATGAATAAATAAATAAAATCTTTAAAAAAAAAAAAAAAAGAAAAGAAAATCTTTAATTTAAAAAAAGGGGGGGCTCCTGGGTGGCTCAGTCAGTGAAGCATCTACTTTCAGCTCAGGTCATGATCCCAGGGTCCTGGGATCGAGCCCCTCGTCCGGCTCCCTGCTGTTCTCCCTCTCCCTTGCCCCTCCCCCTGCTTGTGATCTCTCTCTCTCTCAAATAAATAAAATCTTTTTAAAAATGTATTTGATAAGCCAAATACTGCCCTGGGAATATTAAATAATATACACCATTTACCTTCCTAAATACTCCAAAAATGAAATATTTCTATTCCCAGGGGTTTTCGATAAGGGGTTATGGAACTCTATTCCTTATTGATTTCTAAAACATTTTTGTAGATTAGGAAAATAAACCCTTTTTCATAGATTTTGCCAGTTTTCCCCTTTTTTGTCATGTTCCAGTCTAGCTTATAGTACCATAGGTTTTTTAATTACTAATTAATTCATGTCCATTGGGGAAAAAAAAAGCAAACACAGATTATGACAATGGGTCTTAATCCTTTCAAGTCAGTAAAGACTTTGAAAATCTGATTAAAGTAATGGGAAACTTCCTCAGAAAATTTACATATAATTTTGCATATACTTTCAAGAGCTTTAATAGGCTTAGGCACCAGATTATGAACCTCTGCTTTCTCTGCTCTTCTAGGAACTTTCATCCTTTCCAAGGGATGATCCTTTTCAATCATCATCTATCCAAGACAGGCAAATACATATATGATACATATCGACATCTCTATCTATTTACACATCTATACCTATATATAGCTTCAGCCCAGATCCATTTCCGGATTATCGTATCTCCATATTCATCAGACTACTAATATCTCCACTCAAGTATTTCACTAACATTGAACTCAACATATCAAAAACTAAAATCATTTCTTCCTATGCCAAACTCATTCATTTCTTTAATTTTTAATGAATGGAACCACTAACCATTCAACTGAGTCAGCCAAAAATCTGGTCAGCAACCATGACATCCATCTCTCCTCTACCTTTAATTTTCTCTCTTCTCAGATTGGTATCTCTCAATTTTATCCACTTCTATCCATGCATTGCCTACAGCGTCCTAAATAGCCCTCCTACCAGAGTTTTTATCCCCTCCAATCCGTGTTCAACCTCACCACTTTTCTAAAATGCAAATCTGGTAACACTTGTTCACTTAAAACTCCTCAGTGACTCCCCACTGCTCTAGGGATAGTGTCCATACTCCTTAATATGGCTTACAAAGTCCTTTACCAACTGCAACCCACTTAATTCTTGCATGATCACCCTGTCTCTGATCCCTTCCCCCCAGTCACTGTATTAGTGAATGTCACCATTTACCAAGTGGCTCAAGACAGAAGCCTGGCTTCTCTCCTTCCCATCACCTTCTATATCTAATTAGTCACCATATCCTGTGATTCCTACTTCAACCCTCGTCCAAGTTATCCTATTTTTCTCACCGACTACTAATCTAGCCTTCTCTCATTGAGGACAGAATAAAACAGATGGTTCTTGTGAATAACCTGGCCAACCAGCCTTCATCATCTTTCTCCTTAATGAAACTGAAGTCAGGGTAGCAGAGAAGGGAGAAGAGGGTCACAGAGAGAGCAAGCAGCTCTACGCCAATAAGCAAGGCTTTGCGTTCAATTTCAGGGGCACTCGTCCATGGCTCACCTGAATGAACTTCTAATGCTTTCAGGTCTTTACTAAGCAAAATGTCCCTCACTGCTGAGGCCATTTATTTCCGTTTTTGAGATTCTTTTGCTGAGCAACCACAGCTACATTGTCTTTAGAGTTGTCCCATTACCCTAAGATTCCTTCTTCCACCTGCCCAACAACGAAGGCACCTTTTAGGCAGCTTGTTTCAACCCTACTTCTCACTACTCAGCCTCTACTCATTAATTAACAGGTAGGATAGTGGAGGACCCTTATTCCCATAACCCACCCGATACTTGGGAAACAGCTTTTACTACAGGATCACAAGGAGTAGTCTCCACCCTCAGTCTGGCCTGTGGGGCCATTACCCTTCCTTTTCCAGAGACCATGTCTCTGTCAGCATCCCATCCTCATCTCCCAAACTGTCAAGAACTTTGAAGGGTCTGAGACGTCACCCTACTTGCAAGCTAACAAGTTAGTCTGGCCAAGTTCTGTGGGTGCTGGCAGAAGACTGGAGATTCTAGGGTTGGACACAAAGGACTTTATTACTCACAGCAACAGCCAAAGTATCACTGTCTTGTTCTGGTTCCCAAGCCCCAGTTCCAATAGGACAATCCAAGGAAAGGCCAGCTGATACGTATACATGCAGAGGGTGGCATTTCAGGGAGGAACCCTGAGCATAGGGAACCCAAATCTTTTATAATGTCCTTTGCTCCAGAAGGAGACACTCTCTTACTAAATAAATAGCCTTCTATTGAATAGACCTGTTCCTAGTTCTGACTCTCAAGGTTCTCTGTACAGCTAAACTTCTCTTCCATCTATCTCACAGGCCAGTCTATCCAACAGCAATTTAATGGATTTCAGAGAAGAGTGGGGATGAATTAAAGATTTCCGAGTAGAGGGCTAGGATAGGTCATCTGTATACCCATCTAAACTAGTGATTCTCAACTTTTCCTGCCTTCAACTCACCAGAGATCCAGATATTAGACATCCACTTATCAATGGTTCTCTATGGGGGGGATGTCCCTGGGGCAAAGCCAAATTTGAACATTAGTTGAACAAATTCAAAGTTAATTCCTCATATTCATTAATTTGCTTGAATACTAAAACTAAATAATTACAAATTATCCTCACCATCCCTATTTAATAGTGATGATATAAATTGACTCTTTGAAAATACCAAACTTTTATATATTACTTCACACCTCTAGACTAGAAAACACTTCAAAAGGCTAGTCCTTAAAAGTTAGAGCCAAAAATACTTACATTTTTTAAAATAGCAAAACTTATTACAGGAGGCATGTTAAAATAGGTCTAGTTTTTTAAATTAGCAATACTTTTATGTTGAGAGACATGTTAAAATATACTTACTGCTTACTTGTCCATAGCAATCAATTCAGAAACTTAAATACTAGATCAATATTTAGCAATCGAGGAAAAAAAAATACCACTACATCAGCTGATTTTTCTTTGAATTTAATGAGTTTACATCAAAAAATTAGGTAGTCATTTTACATTTAAGGAATAAAAATCTTTAAAAAAAAATACAAAGAGTGAAAGGATTTTAACCAAGTTTACGTTTCTTTTTGCTATAGTTTTTAACAATTCATCTCATCTTATTGCAATGTGCAAATGCATGTGCAGCACCCATTACAATCATGAAAACTAAATTTAAGGAAGTACATTGTTACTAATAACCCTCAGAGGAAATTGATTTACTTTCTACTAAAAACTCTATGGTATATAAGCATTACATAATAATGCTATTTAACCACCTTTTGTCATGAGAACCATCACCAAAGTTTTCTGGAAATGAGTCCACATAAGAATTAAATATTTAAAAGGTGAAATGTTCCTCATTTGAACTTTAGCAAGATCTTTCTTTTTCATTGTTAAGAAATACTTAAAGTTTTAAAGCAAAAGCTGTTAAGAGTAGAGCCTAGAGAGCTAAAACTGTACTCCTGAGTTCAAACTTACAGGTAAGTCTTTTGTAAATAGTTCTCAATAAAATATCCTCCCTCCCCATCCCCCTGCCCCAAATCTTGTATTGTTTCTTACAAAACTTTGGTCAAGAGTAGAAATAGATCCAGGCAGATGTATGTGCCATACAATAGCAAGAACTAGCCCAACTAATGACTTTGGGTTTTAGAAATAGAAGGCAATTAAAATGTACTCAAAGTTACATTAAGAAAAGCTTTCACAGGGTAATATTGAAACAGTCACAAAGGTTAAGAAAATACTGATATCAAAGTACAAATGACTACAATGTTAAAATAGACAAAAACTACTATACAAGAGCCTCTTTTAAAATTAAAAATAAAGAACACAACACATGAGTCAGGATTATGTTCCTGTTCTACTCATGAATTTTAGTCTTTATATTCATAGGGTTGGTTATGTTGACATCTAGTAGAGTTTCTTATGACAGCTGATGAGGTTTCATTCCAACTGCAGAGGGTGGTTCTTCCCCAAGGAGCCGCTCAGTTCTGGTCACATCTTGGTCACTGCACAATCTCGAAGTAGTGCAGTATCGCCATGATGTGCTGAGGCATGAAGACATAGCCTGTGTACAGGGCCATCCCCACAACGGAAACCAGCATGGAATCTGGGTTGTGGTTAAGGAAACAATTTACTTTCTCTTGATTCAAAAGTAAATCCCCCGATTTTTTCAACTGTTTCATGTTGAAGTACCCGTTCACTTAATGCTTTCTCATGTGTCAAAAACTAGTATCATATGCACTAACATTAACTATGTCTGACACCATTCTAAGTTCTGTAGCCACAAAAAATTATGTAAACTCTGAGGGCTTTCTGGCTTTGCCGTCACGTAGCCATGTTCAAAGGAATAACCGCTTCTGGACTGGGACCACGTGTTGTGAATCCATTCCTTCACATCCTCTCTCTCGCTCCCCTGTCCCCGCTCCTATCTTCCAGACCTTTCGACTCTACATACTGGTAGTTCCACAATGCGTGACATTTTTTCACAAGAAGACAGGGTTTAAATAAACAATGTGCTTACTACCAACTAATATTTGTACAACAGTTCAGTTGACAAACCTCTTTTATATATTATCTCGCTTGGCCCTATCAGCTTTCCTGTGAAATGTTTATCATGACCATTACTCATCAGAGCCTGACCAAACACTAAGGCCGGGGACCTACAAGAAGTTGTCTCTACAGCCAGAGCACAAACTGAAGCCATCTGACTTAAACCCCCAAACATGGATGAAAGTCTCCCATAATCATTTTTTACATTTACTTTTTTGCCTCCCTTAATCTGGTTCTTTCTAAAATTACCACCTTCTATTTACCCCTTAATTTCTTTAAACACACACACACACACACACACACTTACTGCTTCCATATCACTGCCCATCACACAACCATCTAAATTCTACCCCTGCGGGCTAGAGACACTATTCTCGGATCACCAATGGCCACCTATCAAATCCAATGGCTATCTGAATTGACAGTTTTAGTCCTTCCTCTTCAAAACCCTTCCCACTCTGAGCTGAGAAGGTACTTTTCTCTAGGACTCTCCTCCCATCTCTCACCATTTTCCTGTGTCACTGGCTCTTTTTCCCTATCTGTCCCTCATATGTAAGATAATTAGAGTGAATTTTGTGCTTTTGTCCCAAACACTCACTCCACCCCTCCACCCAGTATGACAGTCACGCTCTTTACACGGGCCTAACCTATCCCATCTCCAGCCCTGACTGATTGTAACCCAATCAGAAAACCCTTCTCTTTTTAACAATGCCCCCCCCCAAAACCAATCAACCAGCTCCAAGTTTAGTACTTCTACCAGGAATTAAGGAACACAGATTCTCTCCCTCTCCTTCCGAATATGCAGCTTGCTGACGAAATCCTGGAATCACCAGAGTCACTCTGCCTTCATTGAAAAAAACAAAACTTAGAACAAAACTGACACATGAAGGTGGCAGAACAAAAGTAATCACAGAAAAACGGAGCCAGAAACTTCACCCAAACACCGGAAACCCACCTCACCACTGGGTTTTCAGATACAGAAGCCAATAAACCTCCTTTACTCGTAAACCAGTTTTAAATTTTGTTATACTTGTAGCTGAAAGCATTCTAAATGACAAAATGGAATCCCCAATGTTTTGTCTTGGGCCCTACAAACTCTTGTAGCCTAAACGATGACCTTAACGTCATTGACCTGAACCCACCTTCTGTACTGCAGACAAGTATTTCCTACAACTTCCTCAACATTTTCACCCATGACATTCCTGAGGTACTTTAAATTCAAGAGTCAAAACTGAACTCATTAACTTTCTCCAAAACTACCTCTTTCTAGGAGTCTTATTTTTTCAACTATCTGAAATAGTTGATGTAACTACTGATCCACTATTTGCCTTGTCACTCAATCTAGAAACTTCTTTGATTCCTCCTCCAGAGATTCAAATTATCTAAGACTTCTCAGTTCTTCCCAACCCTGACAAATGACTTTCCTATCTCATGTTCCCCTACCCTAATCAATGATAAATGAGTGAGGTATTTATCATTCCTTAATTACGTCCAAGCTCCCATCTTAGGCCTCTCGCCACTTTCCATGCCACTCTTTTAACTAAAGTGATCCTTTTAAAATACATTAGGCTTCCCAATGCAACAGGACAGCGCCTGGAATTCTAAGCCAAACATCCAAGAATTTTCCCAATCTAGTCCGAAGTACCTTAGGTTGGAGACCATAAAAGTAGACAGAAATTGAGAGATCGGGACAGGGATTCTTGTACAAGGGAGTTTTAGCAGAAGAGGAATAAGTAGAGCAGAACAGAGCAGGGAGAAAAAGGTAAGTAGGTTCAGGGGCTCAGCTCCCACGGGATGCTCTGCAGCCTGAATGATACCACATGTTGATTTTGCTTTGAGGCGAGAGGCCTGACTTTCTGTATCCCTTTATCTGTCAGTCACTGGCTGAACTGAGTGAGAAAAACTCACCTGGGTAAGACAGCTGCCTCGGCCAAGGCCAGTACTCTGAAGAAGGGGGCAGCTAGGACGGGATGAGCAGACAACAGAGACCAGGGGAGAGATACATCAGCTAGTAGAGGGGGTTGAGGTAGAGACCAAGCGTATCACCTACTACACTACTTTCCCGTTGTTAACTTTCAACACTCCAAATAATTCCCCTGACAAACACAACCTACTCAGAGCCATATTATGTGAGTCTCAGAAAACAATGCTTTATATTTTCATACTGCTTTGCTTTTGCTTATGGTTTAAGAATAATATGAGTAAGAATAATAGTAGTAACCGTAGCTTTCATTCTGGGAATGTCCAGTGTGTGCCCAGCACTGTGTTAAATCCTTCAGCAAGTTCAAGTAATCCTGAATCTTGAAATCAGAGTAAGCAATAAAGCCAATTCCAAACCAAATCACTCAAACCAAAAATCTGTGTTCTTAACCACTATGCATAATATCTTCCTATATGTGAAAAATCCTATTCCTTCTAATAAAACCCATTCTTAGCGCTTGGTTAGTTATCCTCTCTCATATGAGGCCTTCCCTAGCTTTCATATTTTTCCCATTCTTACCCAGCCTCCTGGCCCTACTGCTCATAAAGCTCTTTATTCATATAATTTGGCCCTCATTACTTGACATTACCTATTTTTTTTTTTTGTATCTCATAATCTCATCCAGATTATCAACTTCTTGAGCATAGGAACAATGTCTTCTCTTTTTTGTATCTCCAACATCTAAAATAACACATGCTTAATAAATATTTAATGAATGATGAAATTCCTCAAGAAACATTTGATTCTAGATTCGTTGTGGCACTTTCTACACATTTCACATTACGGTGATGAAAAACTTTATAGTGACTACAGAAAGAAAAACAAAATCCATTTCTAGGCAATATTGTATTTTCAGAATGTTTTTAAGGTTTTTTACACTTTTATTTAAGTCTTATAAATGTACACACTGGGGCGTCTGGGTGGTTCAGTCAGTTGAGCATCTGACTCTTGATTTTGGCTCAGGTCATGATGTCTGGGTCATGGGATCGAGCCAGAGTCTGCTCTGTGCTCAGCGGGGAGCCTGGTGGAGATTCTCTTTCTCCCTCCCCCTCTGCTCCTCCCCCCCTCTCTACTAAATAAATAAGTAAACACTATAATTCTGCCTTCCATTCAGGTCATGACCTTGGGGTCCTTAGGATGGAGCCCTGAATCAGTCTCCCTGCTCAGCAGGGAGGCTGCTTCTCCCTCTCCCTTTGCCCCTCCCCCTGCTCATGCTCTCTCTCTCTCTCTGATAAATAAAATCTTTATAAAAAAATCATAAGGTACTAGAGTTCATGACTTTATATGGCATTATGCTGTGATGCATATATATGTGGAATAAAAGCAGTAGGAAATAAATGATAATAATATATGCTAAATTCAGGATGGTTAGTTGGTGAGGTGAAATGGGGAGAGGAAGAAAGGAGAACTAACTGAGAAGGGGCATAAATGAAGCTTCAAATGTATTAGTAATGCTTTTCTTCACCTAGTTGGTAGTATATGCACATTCGTTATATTATTCTTTATGGAGTTTTTGTATGCCTGAATATTAACTTTTTTTTTTAATAAGAACTGTAAAGGAAAATTAAACCACATACAGTACTAGACTAAAAACTGTTTTGTGTGAAGGATTCTCCCCCTTTACAAAATATGAGTTGGACATCATTGGGTCTAATTTGTTACTAAGAAATAAACAGAAAGTCTCAGCTCTCAGAATCAGAATAAAGAATTCTTGATTCTGGCCAAGATAAAGAGAAAATTATCCAAAGTCACCTGAACCTAGATGCAAAAATGCCAATTTATAAGCTGCTCAAAAAAAATATTTAATAAAAAAATTAACCTAACCTTTTACTCATAGCCACTTACTAAATTTAACTTTACCTGTCTCTCCAAAAAAATGTTTCTATATTCTGATCCCATTTCTCCTAATTATTTCCAGAATCACAATAATTAAGTAAGCCTCTAACAGTAAGTTTTCTGTACAATTAAATGGCAAAATTATTTCCAAAAGTTATCTTAAAGCTCTGAAACATAATATTTAAACCAACTTAACTATACAGTAGGTGAGTAAGTAGACACTGGGACCATGAGGAACTTCTACTAGCCTTAATAATCACCTTTCCAAAAAATGCAAAAAGAAAGCACCTTTTATAAGTAGCTTTCTACAAATGCAATTTAAGCAATGTAGTTGAAATAGCTCCCATGTAACTCAGTTGAATATTCCCTGAGTTTATGCTTGGCACCACTTAAAATAGTTTTATTGACACTCTTAGGCACTGGTTTTATTGTGACATTTGCAAGGTTTATCTCCTTAGAAGTGTTCTCACAACCAGAGCTAAACATATACCATTTAGACTATATACTACCTATAATTTTATCTAGTACTTGAGTGGATTTCTCAATCCACTGCATTCTTGAACACACCTCTCAAAGTTTCACACACTGAGAAGTACAAGAAATGGGTACTGGAAACACCACAGCCCTGGTCTGAGTTGTGACTCTGCCAATCCCTGACTGTGTGAAAACTCTCAGATCACCAGTCTCCTTGTCTATAAAATAAGGACACACATCACCTACCCTTCAGGGCTGACGTGAGA